ATTTGGTACACGTCTTTGTGATCATGTAGTGCCAGCCCACGAGGTTCAAAGGATGGTCCTCACTAAAACCTAGAGACCTCACTTGCGGGAAACCATTTTTAAACATGTAGCTTGTTGCATTGCATGAACAGTTGTAATGATAATTGAATATTAGTTGTTTCCTTATAAGGAAACATTCAGCATTCATTCACCAACTAGCAAGTACTTTCAGTTGAAATTTAGTTAATCTATTTAAACTAGGTATCTCTAATAATTCGCTGAAAAAAAGAGCATACTATGATGAAAAAATGTCCCCAACTTGACAAAAACTAAGTTTTATTGGCAAAATTTTTGTTATTATTAAGAGTAAAGTTCAAAGTACTTTTTTTTTTTTTAAGTGTTTAATTAAATTTTTTAATCCTTTTTAAAACAATCAAAATTTTGATTAAAAATCTTGTGTCAGTGGATGGACTATAAATAAGCATAGCAAATTTTAGTGCTTTTTTTGTGGTGAACGACACATTAATTTGGAAATTCTTGGAGTGCTTAATATTTATATTTGTTATAAGGTCAAGACCTCAAAGAATTTAAGGCATCAAATTTCTTTGGTCAAACAGTAGAAAATCTGTTCTGAATAATAAAATAAATAATGCACTAAAACTAAGATATTATTTAATCAGAAAAGCTTTGACAAATAAAATATATTATGGACACTATTCTCTAACAAAAAAGAAAAATTGAAGCATATCAATTCTTACAAGAATTGTTTTTACTTTTTTAAAATTTTAATTAGGATAAATTATAAACTTTTAAAATTCTGTATTAATTTTTAGTGGTCAAATGATATTGTTATTAAATTAAAATTGTACTAATCATAAATGGAAAATTCAACAACCCCCATAATTTTAAAAATAATTTTGATTATTTTTCTGAGAGTATAAACGTATGGTCTTTTACAAATACAGATGTCCATACACAACATTATCAGAAGGGCAACTATAGTAACTATAAAATTTATTAGTAATTTTTTTAAAATTTCTTCAACAAGCATCTTTGCTATAAAGCTAAAATACCTAAAATTCAATATTAGGGTGATTAAATTATTTTATATTTTTAAGATTAATAGGTATTTAAAATAAAAAAAAACAATTATACAAAATAGGCGATCATGCTTTATCCGTCATGTACTTTTTACAATTATGTGCTCCTTACTTAAATTCCCCAAACTGTCAATAATCACTGAACCAATAAAAAACACCTTTGTCTTAAAAAGTATGCTTTTCTGCAATACTTTAATCTAAAACTAAAAGTACAAAATATTTGTTTCAATTCAGATTAATTAAACTTTAAATCAACCAATTTTTCACAAAACACATTTCAAAATGTATATTTTATTTTTGAATTTTTTTTTTTTAATAAAGAGAATTATGTTGTATTTACAGATGGACAGGAGAAGAAGTCTCTTATATCCGGGTTTCTCTTATATCCGTGTTTGGTCTATTTTGTTTACATTAACACAGGCTCTAATTTGGGACCAGAGAAAATTTCTCTTATATCCGGGTTACACTGTAGCAATAAATAACAAATATTTGGATTCAATTCAAGAAAAAAAAAATGGTTATATTTTTTTTAAATTTGTATAAATCATTTTAGAGACATTTTTTTTAGATGTGTCAAATGAATAAGAAAGATTTATTGAATAAAAAATGAAAGTTTAAAAAAATTAACACCGTATGATGAAGTTAAGCACTACGACTTGAAATAATCATTCACTTTTTCAAAATTATCTTTTTCATGCTAGTTTTAAAGGAAAGCACTCCACGAATACCTTTAAGAAATATTTATTAAATTTTAAAATATAAAAAGAAAATTAAAAATAAAAAGAAAGTCCAGTTTGCTATGTAAAATTACTGTATGGAAAAAAAATTGAACACTTTTTAATTGAAAGGCCAAAGAAATTTGCTCATTCAAGGTGTTTTCTTAGAATGTAAAAAAAAAGTTTTTTCGATTTTAATTCATAACCCTGAGTGCTTAAAAGTTTAGTAACTCAAAATTACCTATTTCAGACTTTTTAGTTGTTTTTTTTTTTATATTATTATTATTATTACTACAACTTATTGTCCAACTCTAAACAAAACATAACAATACATAAAACAAAAATAAACAGTTTGGTTCCCTTTATAAAAAAAACTCAAAAAACAACGATATTTGGGAGAGTTTCTTCATATTTTTGGTCAGATTTCGTTTTGTCTTTGCAATTTCATTACGTGAATAAAATAGAAATTTTTATTGATTACATTACAAACTAACAATAAAGTATTTAAGCTATATAATCACATAAAAGAAGTTGGGTATTCCGATATTATTCGAAAAATGATTAAGAAATCAATATATTTAATAAAATCTGTCCAATTTCTTAGCTTATTCGCTGTTTCGATACTAAAATTTTCGATGTCACGCACATCATCCACGTGGATGCTTGTTCCGAACGTAAATATCGACTTTTTAACAACGTAAAAATAATATAAACGTTATAAACGAAATTTATAAGATGTAAATTATTACAAAAAAAACTATGTTCAAAATTTAACTTACATTTGAAGACAAAATTTCGTCGTTTCAAATAAAAACGAAGAGAATCGTATACGAACGGAAGTGAAATTACTGAATACAAATACAAGACCAATAACTCTGATTTTTTTGAATAGTTATCTCCCTTTACCTGCAAATTTAAATTTTTTTTTTATTCTGACGATTGTCCCAGGAGCTATAAGAATAACAAGATCAATTTGGTCAAAACTTTAGTCCCTTGGGTTTTAATGACTTGTTCTAATAAGTTAGAACAAGAACTAAAAGAATAAGAAAGAGAGAAAGATTTTATGATAACAGATATCCTTTGGACAGTTGAGCAATCGAACATAAATGCAAAGGCTGAACAATTCCATAGGTCTAAAAAACGTTTTGGCCCTGAAAAATGAAATTATTTTTTAACCGTTTCGTTTTTAGAAAATCTTGGTAAAATGTTTTTTTTACCGCCAACTCATTTGATTTTATAAAAATTCGAGAAACTCTTTTTTTATAGGACTTAATGTTTATATTAATTATAATGTCAAGTCCTCTGAGAATTTATTAACTCATCAAATGTTTTTGGTCAAACATTACCTCCAGTTTTAGTGTTCAACTTCAATTTAATAATATTTTGTTTGTGATCTAATTCCATTGGTTAAAATAAAAAAAAAGGATCCCAATACATTTCCCACGTAATAGTACTGCGATTGACAAAATCTATAAAAATTAAAAAAGTGGATCATAAAAGTTAAATCTTATCTGACTATTTTACTGACCGTTGATTGGTTAATATATATTTAAATGTGTTCGAAACAGCTCCTGAGGCCGATCACGTGACTTGAAAGTAAATAAATACGGTAACACGACAATAATCTTAGCGGCATCAAACAATTCGCGCCATTCAAATCTTTGAAGTTTCTAGGTTAGATTTCCTAACATAATTCCATGCTTCGAATTCACTCTCTCAACAACAAACTACACTTCAATTTTGATATCTACGATTTTTATCGAGACAACAAGAATTCTACTCAAAGAACATACAGTTTGCCAAACAAACATTTTATTCAAAAAGCAACTTTGAATATAACCTGATGCAAACTTCCTTCAAGTCAGTTATCTTACAGCCAAAAGATTCTTAATATTTAACGCACAATTTACTCAAAAGTTATAAACTTAAAACTTTATCTTTTAAACACAAAATTCAACTTTTGATATCAACCAAAATTTCATTTACCAATTTCGATTACAACAAACTTTCCAGGGAGAACATACTTACTTTCTTCAAAAGACTTTACTCATCTGTTGAATCAACTTTAATCACGTAATATTTAAACTGCTATCTTTTTATCTGTTTCATTAACAAAAATATATATATATTCAGTATTCAACAGGTAAAGCGAGACAACTCATACCTTAATCTCCAATATCAAACTATGACAGAAATTTACGATGTAAAATATTATTTAATCTGAACTGATTAATTCTTTGAAAATCCTTTCACTGAAGGGAACACTGATCAAACTCTGTATTTGACTTAAAGAACATTCTCATTTTCATGTTGCATATATTTGTTATATAAATGCTTTATTCTTGTTTTTCTAAAAAGGAATATTGTTTGTTTTATATTTTGTCTTTGATAACTTTCTGCCATACCCAAAGTTAAATGTTTGTGGAGAAGTTTATTTTCACAAGCCAATACCAAAAATACCTTCTGACATATACATGTTTTTCCTAATAACCTACCCCCTCCGCAACACAGTTATAGAAAATCTGCTCTGAATCATAAAATAAAAATCTATCGGCACACCCTTCCCATCGTCATTGTTTGCCTCAAACCTTTTCTCTTTCTCCTCCCTTCATTGTCGTTACTACCCTGTGAGCAACGACCCAACACTTTCGCTGCTGAGGCACGTGACCGTTTTGAAACGAACACCCATTCAAAGTTCTTTGGACGGTTGGCATTTTGCCGCCAGTTAAACGGCCACGTGACTCATCGGATAACCGCCAAAAAGTATCCACGGGTAAGAGACGACCTGCGGGCATCGAGTCGGGAAGACGTGTTTTTACATCTCTCTCTGCACCTGAGCTTATTCAACCGCCTAGAGTTCGGCGATAGACCTTTTTCATGGTCAACTCAAAAGCGTTCGGCGAAGCTACCTTCCATCAGTGTAGACCCGGTCTAAGCCCAACTTTCTGACCTAACCTGCTGTCCAGAACAACAAGCATTTCCATCATAAACCTCAGTATCGAACGGACCTGCCTAAACAACGTCAGATATCCACAAGCTTCCACACGTGGTACATATACTTTTTAGATCTCTCCCTCCTTTTTTTGGGTCTATACTTCTTACAGGCAACGAACGCTTTTGCAGTTCAGTAATCTTGGTGATATTCTTCGGTCAAAATCTCACTACCGACCGAATTAGTTCTGTCACTAAGTTTCCCCTGATCTTTCCTTTTCTACCCGCCCCCAAAGAACATTCTTAGATAAAGTTGCCTCCCTTTATACTGTTTATTCAAGAAAATAAAAGAAGGAAACTTTCCACATAACCTTTATCCACGTTTTGGACCTTTTTCTTCTCTAAAGACACTTGGCGCCATCATTACGTTTTTGACGCGCTACAGCACTCGACCATTAACGTCAGCCTCACTTTGTGCAGATTTGTTTGAACCGCCTTTACAGAGACCAAGAACTTTACTTTGCATTCCCTCCTCTACTGCACCTTGCCAAATTTATTGTTGAAGAAAAAAGATAAATTTACATCTTGTTACGCCTTTTCTTATCTAATGGTGTTTGTCCACTTTTTACATTGCTAACTTGACATTCGTGTTCTAAGGGAATGTCAAAATACTCTTATACGGAGAAGTTTGGTGGTCTGACACAAGGCGGTATTTACTTAACTCCCACGGGGTCAAGATGTGACACAAGGTCGTTTTTCGTGGAAAACCCGAGCGTTTCCGCATAGGGTCACTGGTCAAAGATTGGTCATAACATGTCCAAGCTGGTCAAAGCTTAGTCAATGTTTTGGTCATAACATGTCCAAGCTGGTGAAAGCTTAGTCAAGTTTTGGTCCAAGTTGGTCTTGGCTTGTCTTAGCAGGTCCTGATATGGTCCAAACTAGACTTAGCCATGGTCTGACACAAGGCCATTCGCAAGAAACCCCATTAGGCAACCAGGCTCCTCCGATAAATCTAATAAAGCTAAGACATTATTTTGAAGCTATTAGTAATGTATGACACCACTGCTGCAAATTAGGGGGAGGGGTGCTAATATTATAAGTGTGTGGTGTTGGTTATAGTAGTAAAAGAAAAAAGCGTATAAAGTATTGTAACTTTAACTGTCTAGCTCCAAATTATACAAGATAACTAAAATGTCCTTGCCGTTTTTTTTTATTTATTAGAAAAAAAGATATACAGCAAATTTGACATAGAGTTAGTCCTCAAAATAATCCCCATTGTCAATCAAAACATTTTACCAACGCGGCTCCAGCTGCGTAATTCCCTTGCGGTAAATACCGGGTGTCTGCCGCAAGTCTGTCTCATTTGGGAAGGATTTCCCATCAAGGTGGTTGACTATAGAATAGAAGAGGTGGTAATCTGTTGGCGCAACTTCGGGAAGCTAAGGTTGATATCACAGTGTCTCCAAGCCAAGTTACCGTGTGGTATCCCTGGCCAATCGCACCACATGGGACCTGGTGTAGTGGACTGTGGCTGTTTTGTTATTGAGTAGACATAGAAGAAACACATGTGGGGTTCAGATTTTCCTGCTAGCCGGTCCAACTACATGAAAAGTTTGGACTATTAATTAAATCCAAAGAATGCAAAGAAAACAAAGAAAACATAAGACCGATAATATATGTATACAAATATATATATTAATAACAGGTTACATAGAAACAGTTACAAAAGGACAAAGTGTGTGTGTGCATATTCTGTATGTGTGTGTGTATTGTGCTTAGCGTGTTCCCACGATATCCCTTATTAGCGCCTACATTTCGAGGTTGTAAGCTGAAAGCCTGAGGAAAAAAAGGGATTTACCTCCAGGTGTCGATGCGAAGGCCTGAGGGAAAAAAGAGAAAGAGGCGAAGGGTCAGCGGCTATTTATAGCCAGGGAAGAAAGACCCCTGCTGAAAGGGTTAACGAACTGAAGGAGAAGTTAACTCCGACGAGACCCCTGGTGAAGGGGTTAACGAACTAAAGGAGGAGTTAACTCCGACACTGGCACTGTCATGGAGGAACAGTACACCTTTGCGATTAACCAATGCTGGCTCCTTCTGCTTCAGTGTATTTAGTTCACGAAGGTAACATTCTTCACCAAAAGTGAATCCCTTTCTGAGCTGCTGCTGCTACTTGGATAGTAGGAACGACGACAAACATGTATTAACGCTTTAACAAACATTATTAGAACACCCGTGAAACGGTCTAATCGGGCAGATACAAACAACAACGAGCAGAACACTTAATCCTTATTATTATTGTTATTAGTAATTACTTAATGATGCAATACAGTTTCTGTTGCACACGTTCCAACTGTTGTGAGTATGGGTCCGCAGTGATGGTTTGGGTCGATGATAGCGTTTTTACTTTACAAGTGAGCTAACAAGGAATAAGCAAACACGAAGAATAACATTCAAGAAGAAAAGTTTCATAAGTAAATGCAATTTATATATACATAACAATTGTACAGACAATAATTCAGTTGTGTTTGAAACGCTGAAATTTACTTATCCTTGGAATTTTGAGTGAACAAAATGTTCCTGTTGATAAACTATGATGTGTATTAAAAAGTGTGTGAGTTTGGAGAACTTTAGTAAGATGTAGTGTTACTTGTAAAAGAATTAAACAGTTTGTTACTCACAATATTAAGTGTTTCTGTACTTGTGGTTGAAGGAGTGAATCTTCATAGATGTTCGTAGATGTTCATAGATGTGTGTGTGTGTGTGTGTGTGTGTGTGTGATGACGTTTCATATCGTTTTCCCGTAAAGGGACAAACGCGAGCTCTCTATTGAACTACATTGCTGTAGGTCTGAGAAGGAGAACAGAGGAAGTATGAAGATGTGTCAAAGTATTTATAATTAATGTGAATCACGTGGTAGACTCGAGAATACATAACCAGATTTTAACACAACTGCGTAGGCATTATAACATCTTTCACATATATTATCCAATTAGAAGTCGGAGAATTATTCAAGGCTTCTATGATCCACTTTGGTGTTTAGTTTGTACAAAATTTGCCGTCGAAAGAAACTATTACATAGAAAATGCATTGAAATCTTTTTCGACCAATACTATTCGCTGAAAAGAAAATAATAATAATAATAATATAAAAACACTCAAGTGGCAGCAGAATGCTAATGTGCATCTCATAGTGCACCACTTGTCTATTAGTTCACCAGACACAGAGTATGACCTTGCGTGGGTGTAAACAATACCAGGGAGAGAATTTCCGAGGTCAGGCACTCAGATTATCTTGAGCAAGGTCGGAAAAGGAGATACTGATACAAACAAACACGATCTAGCGTGTCTTACAAGACTTTTCAAAGAGCGTGTCTTACTTGGCAACCCTTGTGATCGAGTGTGATTTGTCATGAGAATTAGACTTCGAGGAACTTATCGCGCATATTGCGCCAATGAATGTTCGAAAAACGCACTTTTAGGCTGCTTTGGAACTGGTTTTAGTCTTCGTATTTTTTTTCAATAAAATACCGATTCGTAATTTTGCTCTTTACTTTTTATAAAGAAGTAAAACCCCTAAAGGTATTTTCTTGAGGTCCCAATCACCGCCACTGGATGTAGAGATGGTCTTGTGGCGTGAGTCACAGGGTCTCGTGGTGGTAACCAATATCCGACTCGATTGAGTGTGCCATATGGGATCCAGTTTTCATCACGATCAAATATGGGCACATTGCGGTGCTGAGAGAGTAACGAGAAATAGGCTGTCCCTCGTTGTTGCTTGTTGGCTTCTGACAGTATGTCGGTCAGTGGCGTAGCTATGGGGGCGAGAGGGGGCGGACCGCTCCGGGTGCCAGCACAGGAGGGGTGACACAATGTTACCCCCAACAAAATTTTTCAACCAGGCTAAGGTGCCAAAAATAGTCTGAAAACAGTGGTGGAGACACAGGGTTTCGCAGGCGGGCATATGACTTCCCAGAAATAATTTATGACTCCCCCAGTTTTGTCCCCCTGTCAGAAATTTTCTAATAAATTGTCGGGAAATTTGTGAGTAGGAAAAATAGCAATGTTTTCAGCTTTTGATTTGAACTGATTATTTTGAGGTATTGGATTTTGTCTTGGATCATACATGTAAACAGTAACGTACCGGTCAGTAGAGTAAAGTAGAGGTAGAGCATGTATGAAAATTTAGCTACAGCTAACCATTCAGCATAGGGTGAATCGGGGTCATTGGGGTGACATCTGAGCGGACCGCCCCGGGTGACGTTTACTCTAGCTACGCCACTGGTATCGGTTACCCACATGCTCAACTTTTATGCCTTCCTTACGTGGTGCAGATGAAATCGGACTGTTTCGTGCGTTTGGCAATCTTACATGCATTTTTGGCTGTTGTCTTCCTCTTTGACCGCTTCCAGGATCTCATCATCCAGGGCCTGTAGCAGGCCGCTGCGGGGTTTATCACAAAAGGACAGATCTCTCGACAATAACTTTTTGAACCAATGCCTGTCGATGTGTTCACTCGCAGCATTATCCCCAAAGATATGACCCATTTGGCGACTTGATGTGGCTTCGGACAAGCCCACCTTAAAGGCATAAAGCAGACTGCAACTCTTCAGGACGGTTTCCTTGTTTAAGTTGGTTAACTCCTCCTTAATTGTCCAAATATTTTACTAGGACACTGTCTCCCTACACTAAAAATACTGGGCAATTTATTGCCTCGTTCTCTTTCTATTCTGCATTTCAGCGAACACATTTAAAAATGTGATCTCTCGCAGAGATCCGTCTTTTCGTCCACTAGTGGGAAAACGCCATGAAACACATACACGTACGTACGAACATTCACCAATATACAAACTGTTTACGTTCACACA